CAGCATTTATGTGGGGTAGGTGGTCACACAATGATGGTTTTTGTTCTTTGGTGTCTGCTGCCTGTTCCCTTCAACACCTCGTGTTTGCACAGGCTCGTGTGCTTCTTCTCTGTGGATTTTGTTGTTTCCGAGCTAGATGTTGGGAATATGCAGAAGTGTTGATGCCTCCCTCCTGCATGCACACACTTTTTATTCCCCATCCCATCTGCTGATGGGAATGGGACAACGCGGGTGGAACATCTGTGTGCTCCTCATCCCTGACTACCCTGTAAGTGCAATCTGAGGTGTTGATTCTGATTACTAGAGCTCAAAACAGTCTGCATCCCACTTAGACAATTCTTCTCTTTCCTGGGCTTCACTCGAGCAACTGTAAAGAACTATGCTGCCTCTTCAAACCAGTCCCATGACTGAAGGACGAGAGAACTGCGCCACCTCTGCACTTTGGAAATGCTCACCATGGAGGTTTTCCTGCTGTCTCGGGACCTTACACAGTACATTAGAATCATTTTGTATAAAAAGAACATATTGCTGCTTTATTTGATCATACTCTCCTCCAAAGTGCCACAAACTGTATCTTGAACAAATTGGAAGAAGAAATATACTCCATTCGATAACTAAAAGAAATCCTAAGGGTGCAGTGGCAGCTAGCCAAAAGAATGGTGGCTTGACCACACAAGGTGCTCTCTGGGATGAAGATACGGTAGTCAGCTTCCAGAAAGTTTACAGCTTTGGAAACCCTGTGGGAAAGTTATCCTTTGTTCTAGCAGGGGTCCTCGAACTACAGCCTATGGGCCACATGCGGCCCGCTGAGGACATTTATCCTGCCCACCGGGTGTTTGTTCTTTTACTTCAAAATATGATATGAGCAGTGTGCATAGGAATTTGTTCATAGATTTTTTTAAAACTATAGTCCAGCCCTCCAACGGGTCTGAGGGACAGTGAACTGGCCCCCTGTTTATAAAGTTTGAGGACCGCTGCTCTAGAGGGTCATTATGAGTCAGAATCACCTCAATGGCAATAGGTGGCTTGGTTGGTTTGCTTTTTCAGGTTTTTGCTAAGATAAGTAAAGGTGTTATTATGGATGTGACGCAGAAGGTTATACAATATTTAAAATGGTATAAGTCACCTTAGGAACAATTCTCAAACAGGAGTTCTGTGGGTCTGGTGCATCGGGAATAGCCCAAGTGGGATCAAGCGGATTGAGGTCAAACAAGCAAAACTCTAGCACTCACTCACTACCCCCTCAGCGTCACTGTGACTGGAGTTATGCCTGCACTGAAACAAGGAGGCATCAAAGGATGCCTACCTACTTTGGGTATTCAACAATTTCATTTGAACAAACATTTATGAAAAGCATTTCAAAAGACAGAAAAGCCACTATTGTATAAGAACTGTGCATTTTAGATAAGGGTAGGTGTGATAGGTAGGTTTATTGTGCCAACTTAGCCAATAAATACAAGTGACATTAATAAGGTCTCAGTTTAATTGAAGGACAAAGAGTTAAATGGCTCAGCAAGGCTCGCCTTTCTGTCTCTTGCTCTCTCATGACTGGACCAGTGTACAGCTGCCTTAGCTAGTTTTCCGTCTCAATTTGTGAGCTACA